ACACACTTTCATTTTTGGCCGTGTGTGTGTGTGTATTTCACAACTGGTGAAAATAAGGTCAGATTTATGAAACAGATACTCTTTGAGCATCTGCTATGTAAGAGGCACCACAAAAGATGGTGAGTGAGGACTTGGAAAAGAATCAAACAAGACACCTGGTCTCAGGGAGCTTTCCATCTAGGGAGCAGGTCAAATAAACAGAGAGGCACGTGCAAGGCATTATGGGAGTAAGGATGAGAGATGCCCAAGGCACCCAGTTCCACCTGGGTGTGCTGGTGGGAAATGGAGGTGGAGAGGAGTGTTCATACAGAAAGTGAAGTTTGAGTTGAGCCTGAGAGATGAATAGCATCCCACTCAGCAGACAAGGAAAGAAGGAAAATTACAGACAATAGTGGCGTGTACCAAGGCTCAGAAATGTAGAATTCATGGTGAGTTTGGGGAAGTACAAATGATTCTGGAATGGTTGGAAGGTAGGCGGAGTTGATCTCCAACATACTTGCTAAATATTTGCCCTTAGCACAGAATATGGGTTGGGAGGAAATGGGTCTGGATATGTTCACTGAAAAATTTTAAATAAATGAGTGAAAAATCAGAATTGTATTCCATCAAAATCTTCTCCACCAATCCCGGCAAGTCCATTCTATTTTATCTACTCTACTGTTTGTGTTCTCTAAACAGATTGTCCTGAAACCTGCTTGCTGAATGTTGTTCTGGTTAGTTTAACCCACTCCTCCTTGTTATTTTAACCTAAACTCAGAAAATCACTGATAGAGGAAATGTCTCCAGCATCAGGCAGTGTAGGGCTGATGGTTATTCTAGAAGATCCTTGGCTGCTGAAGGGTGAGAGGAGAAAACGAATGGGGTTTGCATGGAGGAGTTTCCAGCCTTTGAGCTCAGCATTACTGGAGCATTTTACAGCAGGCGTTGTAAAGATTTGGTTGAAAATCAACTCAAAGTTTTCTCCCTAATTGGCTTGGCCTGGTTTAATCTGTTACTGGTCAGGCCGAGCTGGCTTCTATTACGCAGCACACTGAGGATTTCCGGTGTTGCTCTTATCCTAATGGAGGCTTGCTGCTTTTAGAAACAAATCTTGGTGTTGGCAAAAGCTGGTATCATTGTATCCTCTGAAGTAAGCCCAGAAGGACTTCCATCTGATACAGCATTTTAGACCTTTGACTAAAAAGAGCAAATCTTGGATTTGGAATTTGCATGCTAGAGAGTTATGGTTTTATGTTTTATTCTCCCCCAAATAGAACAAAACTTCCTATTTGTTTCTGCCTCTTTGGGTTGAATCCTGGCAATGCTCAGGTTACCCAGTCTGAGCAAGCAGCACCTGCAGCAATGGGACGTCTGCAGAGAGGGCCTGTTCTTGGCCCAGGATACCGTGGAGTAACACCAGAGGAGGGGACAGGAGGATCTTGTCACTTCGGGTCCAGCATTGCTGGGCCCAGTCTCTTGAGGCCATCCAGTGCTGAATATAGAGACTTAAATGGTGAGGGGAAGGAGGAGGGACGTTTTGTTATGGGACTGGGGTAATGAACAGGAGCTGTTAGAGAGCATCGAGCCAGCACTGGAAGATGTTTGTGTTGACAGAAGAGGGACAACAGAGTCCATGTGTGGAGAGTTTGTGAAGGTAAAGAAGCAAACCAGCAGGGAACCCGTAGAAGACAGCATTCATGTCTGCCTCTGGAGTTCATATGAAGAGAGAAGCGGAAGTGGAGCGTCCCATTTTCCCTATAACCCTGGAAGGAAGTTAGATTTCAGAGTACCACGTGCACGAATGTGGTGAGGGCTTGCTGTGTACATTTGCAATCCCTCAGAGGTAAAATGCCCTCCTCCCTCCCCGTCAGTCTCCTTGCCAAACCCTTGCAGAGGCTCTGGGGAGTTTGCACAGTTCTGCTGGCGGAAGTCACTCATGATAAGAACATATGCCTGCTGAACTGAGCTCATTAGAATCAAGAAGACCAACTTATAACTCCATAAATATACATCCATCCGTACACTTAAGCACAGACATGCATTTTACAGGTCTTAGAATGCTAGACTAACATCTGTTTTCCTTTCCTTGTTAATTCCATTCATCCCCACACCCCCTCTGGCCTTATCCCCATTCCTGACTCCAACGTGAATTCCTCAGCAAAGCCTTATTTAAAAGATGAGAGAGCGCCTGCATTTTGAACGGGCTCCCAGAGCTTGTTTTGGGGGATTTCTCCACCACCCTCCAATCCTTGTTGGCCAGCCAGCTAGTCAGGTGATCACTCTAAGGTCCCAACCTGGACAAATCTGTGTCTTTCGATGCAGGCGTTCTTGCTGTCAATCAGCACCTGCCAGCCTCCTAAGGCCTGCCGGAACCTCCTGGGCACCAAGGACAATGGCAGTGGACAGGGTTGAATCAGCCAGAGCAGTGACCCACAGCTGTGGGCTGAGCAAACAGCCAAACCAAAAGCAGTTGGGCTGGGGAAAGTTCCTTGCCTGTTCCCTTTCCTGGAACTTCTGTTGTGGTTGCTCTTATGCCTCTGTAGAAATGGAATTTTTTTCCCCTTCGTGTCATGTTTTGTCATGCTTTATTTGAATATTCTAGACTCATGAAGCTTGTCTAAGACAATGTGAACCATAGCATCACAGCAAATCAGACTTGGAGGCAATATAAACTGGTCCCTTCAATTTATCAATGAGGTTGCAGATGCCCATTGAAACAAACGGGCTTGGCCAAAGTCATACCTCTAGTTAGAAGCATATCCAGGTCTAGAAGTTGAGTCTCTCTCATTCAGTGCTTAATCCTTAAGTTTGTGTCTGTTTAGCATATAAGTACATTGCAGTCATCTGTACACGATATTTATTCCAATAAGAATAAAATTACACATAATAGATACCATTTATTAAACAGTTATTATGTATCTGACATTGTGCATATTGTACATTGTATGTACATTGTACATATTTTGTATGTAATATCATTTACCCGTTTGGAAACCCTACTGGGTGGTTATTACTTTTATCTTCCATTTATAGTTGAAGTACGTGAAGCACAGAAAAGTTTAATAATTTGCCCTTAGTATGTAGGGGAGTCCTAGAACATTGTAACTTTCCTGGACTCTGGGTTGTGTTTCCATCAGCAAATATGTACTGAACCCCTAGAGGGGATGGAGGTCTTACCTTCTCAGTGGGAAGTAGAGATGTGTGAGCAAGTCAATCACAGAAGCACACAGTGAAGGCTGCACCAGAGGCCTGAACACAGGGTGGTGGGGACCAGAGGAGGAAGGATTGGGCTTCACCAAGGAGGTGGCATCTGAGTGATCTCAGGGATGCACAGAAGCTTGCCAGCCGGAGAGTGGATGCTTGTGCACAAATGAGTGAAAGGAACTAATGTGGCAGGGGACAGTTAGGAGAGTGAGAAGGCAGGACCATGGTCGTTGCTGGGGAGATGCTGGGAGATGAAGCTAGGGAGGCAGCTTGGAGGCAGATTATAAAGCTCCTGTATGCAGCGCTAGGGAATTTGGATTATATTCAGTGAACAGAGTGGAGCCAACAGGAATTTTTATAAGCAGGTAGATAACAGAATCAGATGACAGGGGCTGTGTGCTGGATAGACTCTAGCATTCTGGGAGACTGGTGACAAGAAACCCCATCAGGAGGCTGTTGCAATGGTCCAGGTAGGGCTGGACTGTTTCCGGCTGTCTGATGGGCCTGGGCTGTCCCACCGCGCTTTTGCTTCTGCTGCTTCCGCAGCTTAGAAGGTCTCTGACTTGATCCTCATGAAAACTACATGCCCATCTTTCCAGAGTGTGCTCAGGGGCTCTGCATGGAGACCCCCTTCAGTCCCTGCCCTGAACAGATGTGTGTTCCCCTCCATTTGGGTCTTCTCTATCACTAGTACATTCTTTATTCTTTCTTGGAACACATAAAACCTTGTTGCATCTGTTTGCCTACATTTAACTCTCCCCTTTCAAACCCAGCTTCTTGCAGGCAAGACCAGACCTTTGCCTCCTTAAATACTTGGTACGGGGCCTGACGTTTAGTGAGCTCTCCGTAAATGCATGATGGATGAATAAACTTTTTTGTTTTGTTTTGTTTTGTTTTGTTTTTTTGAGACGGAGTCTCGCTCTGTCACCCAGGCTGGAGTGCAGTGGCGCGATCTCAGCTCACTGCAAGCTCCGCCTCCCAGGTTCACACCATTCTCTTGCCTCAGCCTCCCGAGTAGCTGGGACTACAGGCACCCGCCACCATGCCCGACTAATTTTGTTTTGTATTTTTTAGTAGAGACGGGGTTTCACAGTGTTAGCCAGGATGGTCTCGATCTCCTGACCACGTGATCCACCTGCCTCGGCCTCCCAAAGTGCTGGGATTACAGGCGTGAGCCACCGCGCCCGGCCGATGAATAAACTTTCTAAACAAAGGCAGTGACTGTAGACATGGAAAGAAGAGTCCAAATTTGGGAGGTGGTTTTTAAAGCTATATCAAGGGTAGGCAAACTGTGACCTGTAGGCCAAATCTAGCCACTTTATATATTGCTTTTGTAAATCAAGTTTTATTGGAACTCAGCCAAGCCCACTTGTTGATGTGCTGTCTATAGCTGCTTTTAGTGTATAATGGCAGAGTTGAGTCATTGTAACAAAACCATATGGCCTGCAAATCCAAAAATGTTTATTACTATCTGGCCTTTTACTAAAAATGTTTACCAACCCCTGAGTTAGATCAGTAGGATTAGTGACTGGCGGTAAAGGGTGAAGGGAGGAATTAAGACCTTTTTTTTTTCTCAAATCTCCCCACCATGCCTAATCCAGAGCTTTGCTCCCAAGTGATGGCATTGACCCACAGGCCTGCAGGTACTTAGAAAGAAATACCGTGTATGTGGCACAGGAGGAAAAGGGAGGCTAAAAATTACCCCATATGGGAAAAGAGACCCAAGGAAGAAAGGACAAGGGGCCGTAGCTGCGAGCCAGAAGGGACCTGAGTCCTGCTTGTCCCTGCTGAAGCCCTCATGCTGTTCTCTCTTGCAGTCATCCAGTTTGGTTTCGTCACCCTCTTCGTGGCCTCCTTTCCCCTGGCACCTGTGTTCGCCCTCCTCAACAATGTCATTGAAGTGCGGCTGGACGCCAAGAAGTTTGTCACGGAGCTGAGACGGCCGGATGCTGTAAGAACCAAAGATATCGGTATGTGCCCCTCTTAGAGGTCCCACCAGGCCCATCCTTCTGTCATTCTATCCCCTGTGGACACAGTCACACCACACCAGGAATCAAGAGGGCTGCGAAAGCCCCTCTTCCCTTTGGGTCCCTCATCCTCATATCCTGAGGTGCAGGGACGCCTTCTGAGACCACATTATCCACCCCCACTTGTGATCTGAGCTTCCAGACAGGGGGGCTACCTAAGCCTTTCCAGACAAGCCCATTCTGGGGGGCCCAGCAAAGCTGCTCGGTAGTTCACCTGCGAAACATCACCCGGAGCTTCAGCCTTGTCATCACTGGGCCGAGGGCGGGAGTGAGCCAGACGCTCTCTTTTGTGTCTTGTAGGAATCTGGTTTGACATTCTCTCTGGAATTGGCAAGTTCTCTGTTATCAGCAATGTGAGTACTTACATTCATGACGCACTCGCTCTGTGGGAAGGGCTTCCAGAGAAGCTGAGGTCTTCAAAGTGGGAAGCCAGCCCTTGCACCTCCCCAGCCTTTTCCATTTGGAGCTTTATTGGTGAGAGCACTCTGGTTAACAGCTCACAAATGCCTTGTAACTCATCGTGCTGTCGCTAAGGCTGTGTAGGTTTATTTTTAATTTCACAAGGAGAAAGGTAATTATCCATCAGAATGCATACCTTGGCCCTGGCAGTCAAAATCAGATCTCTCCTTGGAGCCAAGAATGATGAGGAAAGAATGCTACGTATCTATTCATCTCTTTCCTTTCTGATTCTACTCCTGAGTTAAACAATGCATGGAGCATTGCCCAGGCTGCCGTCCCTAATTACAGTTCCTCCAGGTTGTCAGTGCAAAGTCTTAATTATCTCCAAGGACTCTGGCACTGCGTAGGTTAAGATAGGACATAGAAGAAGAAGGGTCCCACCTGTGGTTACCTCCTTAACTCTCTTGCCAGACGTGTCTACACTGCAGAGGAAATCCTGCTGGGCCCCAGCCAGCTCCTCTTCTGCTGTGTTCTTATATGGACAGTGGCCAGGAAGGGCCTCCTGTCCCACCTCCCAGGAATGTATCAGCCAGCTCAGTGCACACCAAGAAAGCCACGGCCCTTTTCCCTTGGGAGGCAAACAGTGATTTGACCTGATTTCCTACTAAGATCACATAAAATGGCTGGAAGGTGTGAGGTGAGGCAGAGAAAATCAGCCCCCTGCATTTTGGATGTTGTGATGTAGGAAATGCACATCTCGAGGCTTAGAAATAAGGTGCAATTTGGAAAACAGATCAGTCTGCTACTTTGAAGTTGTGTCTGCTAGAACAGAGGCCCCGAGTATTAATCACTTTGCATCTACAGTACGAAATGACATGCAGTCTTACTTCCCTGGCCTCTTTAAGCCTTGTTTACTTATCTGTCAAACGGGAGATAATAATAGCACCCACCAAATAAGATCATTTGGGACATTAAATGGCATGATGAAAGGACATGTAACAAGGGCTCAGTAAGTTGTAGCTGTGATTACGATGTTATTCCTTCTCAAATATGGTTCTGGCCATTCACATTCACATACACATTTAGAAAACAATATCTGAACTACATTTTGGTAAAGGGCTTTAATTGTTGGTGCAGGATGCAATATAAACACCTGCCAGAAAGATTTAAGACTTTCTTTGCAGAAAGTACCTCTGTGTTCAAATATGCAATCATTCATTTGTCGTTTGGTTTGCTCCATGGACATTTATAGAGCGCTTAGATATGCCAGACACTATGTTGGGTGTGTGTGGCTCCATCTAGCAGGACCTGTTTCTTTCTCCGCTGCGTCTCCATTTTCTTAAGTAAAATGGACACAAGAATAACTTCTATTACATGACTTGCTAAAAAAGTGTTGAGAGATAATGATCAAATGAAGCAAACTGTGGAATCACATTCTTGGTATTTCTGGATTTCTGGTACCACTCAGGGGCAGAAGTACATGGGCATTCCATTTCCTTGCCCATTACACTTACGTAGTACCCTCATCACTATAGGTAATTTTCCCAGGAAAGCGTGCACTCTGTTTGGGCTTGCTCAACAGCAATGTCACATATCTCAGAGGTGGTCTAATCCTTCCAGCACCAAATGGTCCAAACTGACTTAGCATCCTTTGCTGCAGTGGTTGACTTGTGCTCTTTTGGCAGCCACTGTCTGGTGGACTTATTATATTTGTACACATCAAAGATGGAAAAGGCAGGTGACTCAGCTGTGTGAGCTCAGGGACCTGCACATGCTGTATGAGCTTCTGTGTCAGTCAGAGCAGCTCCTTCAGATGGACAGTCTAAGAGTGGACAGTCCTTTTTAGCATCAATCCTGGCTACTCAGTGCTTATGGTTCTGTCCCTCAGGCTTTTGTCATTGCGATCACCTCCGACTTTATCCCCCGCCTGGTGTACCAGTACTCCTACAGTCACAATGGGACTCTGCACGGCTTTGTCAACCACACCCTCTCCTTTTTCAACGTCAGCCAGCTGAAGGAGGGGACGCAGCCAGAAAACTCACAGTTTGACCAGGAGGTTCAGTTCTGCAGGTAAAGTAATCTTCAGGAGGAGGGCAACAGAGGACCAGAGGCAATAGATCCAGATAATTATGGGGATGACCTAGAATTACAACACTGCACAACATGACGGTGTTTTAGACAATAGACCACATATATGGTGATTGTCTCCTAAGGTTATAATACCATAGTTTTACCATACATCTTCTGTATTTAGATATATTTAGGTACACAAATACTTACCACTGTATGACTGCCTACAGTATTCAGTACAGTAACATGCTGTGCAAGTTTGTAGCCTGGGAGCAATAGGCTATCCCTTATACCCTAGGTGTGTTGTAGGCTACATAGCATCTAGATTTGTATAAGCACGTTCTGTGATGTTTGCGAAGTCACCTAAAGATGCGTGTCTCAGAACATATCCCCATCGTTAAGCAACACACAACGTACATCATTCTCCTTTCCCTCTGTCTCCTGCTCTCTCTCTGCAATTGTTAATGACTCAAAAAATATTTATGGACTGCCTTTTTCTAGACCCATGGCGCAGACAAAGAGCCTTGTCCTCACCATCAAGGGGGTTATGGTCTGGTTGAGAAGAAAATAAGCAGAACAGATAGGAAATAGTAGGTTATTTGCTGAGCTTATGTATGGACCATGAGCATTGTGGGTGCTCAGAGGAGAGGGAGATTACTTGAGGGACTAGAATGGAAAGGGTGGGCCTCCTGGAGGGGCTGCTAGGAGCTGTAAGACAGAAAAGAAAAGCATTCTAGGTGGGGAGTCATCATGGGCAAAGTCATGGGGTAGGGACAAATGTGGGCTGTTGGAGAAGCACTTGGGGCTAGGTGATATGGTTAGCAAGGAGACACACAGCAAAGGGATTAATAAAGGAAATACAGTAAATGTAGAAACTCCTACGACAGCATAAGCCAAAAGGTTGTTGAATTTGAATAGATGGGATAAAGTACCTAATGGGAAGTCCTGAAATCTGACGGGAATTATAATGTGATGCAATAGGAAGGCACTGGACTTTTTTAGTGTTGGGGAATTATAGGATAAAGGGAAGGTTTAGGGAAATTGATCTGGTCTCAGTGAGGACGATGGGCTAGAGTTGGTAGGACCCAGGGAGGGCAGCTGGGCTACTGCATCATTTAGACATGAACCGTGCTGGGCATAGACCAGGGTGGTGGGAAGAATTAAGAGGAGGGGAGAAGATAAGCTGTTTCACATGAAATATTGCAGAGTTGGTGACAGTAGACATAGGAGAGTGGCTGAGCTAGGATTATCTCCAGTCTGGACTGAAGTCAGAGGACTGGGAAGTGGTCACATTGATAGGGAGAGGGAAGATGCTGAGAGAGTCTACTTTTATGCTACATATGATGAATTTGATTTCAATCATGTTACATTTAAAACGATGTTAAGAAATCTAAGGGGCCATTTTCACCCAACTCCTTGCCACACTAAGCTGGGCTTCTGGAGACATCCAGCTTAGAGTCCGGATTGAAGGCCATCACCACAGGGGTCACTGAAGCCCCAAAATGGAAAACTCTCCATTACTTACCCAAAAGGGCAAATACAGAGAAGACGAGCACAGGGGAATAATTTATTCAACCTGTTTGTACCCTGGTTAAAAGATGGTCCCAATAAAGCACTTGATGCAAGATCCTACCTCATATATATAAATCAGAATAATTAATTACACCAATAACAAAGGAGAAGGTATTATGGGACCAATATAGGGCTTTCTTAGACCATCCCCAATAATATTTGATGTGAAAGCGGTGTTTTCAGCTGTGTTTGCAGCGGTGATGACCCTGGGCATGTCTGCCATGCTTTCCTACCTGCGACCCTGGTGCCCAAGACCAACCTTTTGTAAAACAGCCACTTAGGTTCAGATTTGCGGCCTGAGACCATGAACGAGAGAACACCAGTTGGTTTTCCCAACCTGGGTGACTGAGTTAACCAACTGTACTAATCTGTGGTTTAAATAGAAGGGTATTCTGGTTCCAGGAACAAAAACTTCAGGGTTTCACTCTAGTCAACCAAGAAAAGATAAAAAAAAAGAGGAACCAGACCCAAAAGTGGATGAAGAAATTTACTCATAAGTGTCCATTTATATTAGCCTAGGTGTTTCAGGATTTTTCACATCTGGGCCTATAAAGAGTCTGACTCTTATACTAAAATCACATTGCGGGCAGATTTGCCGCCAGGCCACGCACTGCCTGGGGGCCCCTCTGCATGGTTCGCACACTAGACTGTCTGTCCATGGTGCTGGACTTGGGTCTGCAGACCCCAACGACATAGTTCCACAGCGTGGTGGGTCAGGAACAGCTCAAGGCCTTTCCAGTAGCATCTAGGTCTTCTCTAGGCAGGGTCTAAAACTCACATCTAAGAGCGCAGGTCTCCACCTCCATCTCCAGTGAGAGGCAGCACCAGTGTGACTTGTCATGTGTGAAAGCCAGGCTCACATCATCTGTTTCTTTAGTTGCTCTAGAAGCACTTGTCCTCACGGAGCACAAGGGTCTCTGATCTTGCCCTTGACCATCAGATTTTCCACTGACACCTGTGAGTGTGCTTTTCAGATGTATCACTGATCGAACTGGCTTAAATTAATAGGGATTGTAATGGTCCCTATGGAAAGTTGAGGGTAGGTCTAACCTCAGGCAGGTTTTTATTCAATACAGTCTGCCCAAATCCAGTCTCTGCCCACCTCCCAGCTCCACTGCAGTCAATGCTGACTGCGTTTTTGAGTTCCATATGATCGCCAGGAACTGTGGTGAGAAATAAGGAAAATGGGTGCTATTCAGCCAAAACAGCCAATGTCCAGGACACCAGGTGTTGTGACTATGTGTGGATCAGATTGAGCTTTCTTGTATCTGCCTTCCGAGTCGCTGGATTTTTCCAGCCAGCTGTGAGGCTCTGATAACCGTCTCCCCATTATTTCCATGCAAGTAGATAAGATCATGACTTGGTTGTGGCCCGTTTTAGAAAAAAGTCTGACACTGAGTGGCAGAATTATCAGTGGGCACATGCATAGCAAGTGCACTTTCATTCTGTATTTCTGCCAAGAAAATTTATTTGCAGAAAACAAATCATCCCAAGATCAAGCTGAAGTGACTTTGAAGCATCCGTCATTTTTGCTTCCTCTCTCTCAGTACCAGTGAGGATTACAGATTCATTAGGCAAATACTTTTGAGACGCTACTAAAGGCTTGGCCTTGGTTATGTAATAGGGAGCAAGACCTAGTGCCTCCCTCGAGAACTCTAGATGGAGCAGGCAAGTAAGCAAACACGGAATTAAAATTAAAATAGAGCTTTAATGATTGACAATAGGATAACAACAGAGAGCTAAGGGATCCCTGAGGAGGGAGGCCCTGCACCTAGCCCAGACTTAAGTGTTGAGGGGATGTTTCAAGGGAGATGAAACCTGAAGAATGGCCATGGAGATGATCACATGGAAACTCCCCACTCATGTGGCCACATCAGCCTGGCTGGTAAGCAGGGTGGGGAGGGTGGTGGGCCACGGGGCAGCAAGGGCTGTGTCAGGTGGTGACGGAGGTTCCAAGAGAATACTGTATTCCAGGGAGATAGGCTCAGGCGAGAGGGGTAAGCTATGAGAGAGGAGGCTGAAAGAAAAAACAAACTCCATATTAAGGAGAGGATGCTGGTCCTGTTGAGGTGCGTGGAGCCTCTCGTAGGGCCACAGGGTACCACTGCAGGGGTTTCAGAGGGCAGTGATGAGATCAAGCTTTTTATTGGTGTTATGTCTGTGCCTACAGTGTGAAGACTATGGGGTTACACTGAGGGTTCCGTTTAACATAAAGAGATGCCCTACTGTGAAATGTAGGTAGATGTTCAGAAAATAGGGTCAGCAGGTGATCTAGACATAGTATGTCAAATAGGCGTGCTCTGGGGACTACGTTTCCTAGATTGATAAGGGTTGTTGATGGAAATCTCTGCCTCATGTGAGTCCCTTCCACTGCCTGCTGTGTGAACTTGTCTGGGTCACTCAATTCTCTGGAGATTTAGAAAGCAAAGGCATAACCTCTATGATGTCTTTCTGAGTCAGGAATTGAGATGCTTGAGATAATTCCATATACATTTATATGTACATGGAAGACAGAGAAAGAGAGAGGGGAGGAGGAGGAGAAGGGACTGTGATAGAGGAATATTTTGAGAAACAGAGATAACTCTTCAGCTAGTCCTAGAGCCAGTTAAAACTGCTTCCGTGGTGGGAAACGAGGTTTGCCATGATTTTCTGGCAAATAACGTTGGGAACTTGTTGACCCTTCTTATTCTTAGCTTTCAGTGACCTCTGGAGATAAATGTGGTCAAATAAAACTGAGGTCTGCGGCTCCAACCCAGCCTCGCCAGGGATAGAGGTATCTTAAAAATAGCAATAAAAGTTAGGACAAGTCTCCGGCTGCCCGTTTGAGATGCATTCCCAGCATTTTGGAGCGATGCTTGCCTCAGTCATCTGACTGCTCTGGCAGGGCCGCTCCGTAAACAGTCCCGTGACATCAATCTGCAGGCATGATTAGCAACCATTTGACAGGGTCGAGGGGCCGCCACATCCTGGAGGACGAATGTGGGCTTGACTTCCCAGCTCAGCTGGAAGGGGGCAGAGAGATCTTGTCTCAGAGCTCGAAGAGCCTACCTGGGCATGGTCGACCCAACAGGTCTGCTTGGAGTTGTTTGTTGAGCTTCCAGCAGCAACTTCTGTGGATGGCTCCTGCCAGGTGTTCCTGCAGGTCCTAAGGGCTTGCATACCTCATATCCTGAGAAAAGCCTTTGAAGAGGGTGCTCCCTTCCAGCCCACGGCTGCCTCCCATCTGCTCCCCACCGAAACCAGAGGCTGTTAGCTTTTCTGGGTGTCGCCTTTCCTGATTCTTATCAACCACTGGACTGACCTGCTACTCATTAGTTCCTAATTGCCTGTACTGTTTTCCTTTGTTAAGGGCCAGTTCCAGAAGGCAGTTTTAAGTAGCTCAGATGGTATGAAAATATTGTATGTAGTTGTGTTCAGCATTAATATGACATTAATTTCCACCGGGGCTATTAAAATGTTTTTTACACGCCACTATTTGGAGTTGAGAAATGCATTTACTAGCTGATTTATTACATCACAAAAGCTCATTAAAAAGCTGTTACTGATCGTTAACTTCAGCACCATCCCTGCCCACGTGATTTTGTGTTGTGATGAATTGTGGCAGATGTCACTGTCACGAGTCACCCTGCAAGTGAGGATAGGATGAGGACATCTGAGCCCTGAGTCTCTGTAGCTCAGTTTTTTCATCTGTAAAAATGGGGGCTTTGGAATAAAAAATCTTCAAAGATGCTTTTCGTTTTTTTTTTTTTTAAACTTCAGGTTTAATGACATGTCATTTATTAATCTAGTTCTACAAAAATTCTAAACATTACAGGCAACCACTCCACCTCTGTTCTGCCTCCACCCTAACCCCTGCCCAACCCAGGCATCCTTCCGACAGTAATAGGGTTATACTTATGGGTGAATGTTTTCTAGGCATTTTTCTATGCATTAACATAGTATTAACTTTGTAGAACTTTTAAGGTATTGTTTTCATTTTACAATGAAAGATATTTTGAGTTAATGGAAATCTTATTTAAGTCATGTACAAATTCAATTCAATCAATGTGATTTTTCACAAAGTTAGAACAATCTAGATAAAATATTAACATAATTTTAAAGCTAAACTATTATGTTGATTTCTGTGTCAGTTTCATATATGAGTCTGTCGAAATTAACACTATAATTTTGCTCAGGAAAGCTTAATATAAAAATGTACTTGAATCAACTGTGTATTGCCATTAATTACATTCATCTTTTACCGTTTTGAACTTTTTAATTATAAAAGTAATTCCATAGACACATATTGTGTATGTATATGAGAAGAAAAGAGTCACTTCTCAGCTCCCACCCCAGCTGTTCTATCCCAGAAGAAACTTGTGTTCATTTTCTGCAGAAGCTCCAGAAATCATATTCACATAGATTGTCTTATTTAATTCTCACAGCGTCTTCCTTTAACATGCAAGGTATACGCACACACAGATACGCACGCACATCTATTCATTCACTTCTGGCTGGGATTGAGACAGCTCCTGTATGCTTAGCACTGGGATACACATTTTGGGAGTTGCACTCTGTAGATCCGGGACCTAGGTTTGGAAACGTGGAATGACTTCCTCGGGCTCTTCTAGGTAGTAAGTGGCATAGCTGATCCAGATGCAGACTAGCTTTTTTTTTTTAGACAGGCTAGTGGTCTCGTTATTGGAAGTCTCTCCTTATTAGAAAACTCAGGAGAACTCTCAAACTTTATGTTAAGCCTCAAGGAAAATGAAGGAGGACTGGAGGGGTGAGGGTGAGATCCAGGAATGTCCCTAAAATAATATGCCGGGGATTAAACTCTGCATCTCTTTGGGGGGCCACGGCTGGCAGCTGCAGGAGGCTGCCCAGATGTAGGGGCTCACCCAATGCTGGGGAATTCAGTGGGACTTTGGGAGACCCGAGCTCCCCAAGCCATGGGAACAGGTCTGTTGTGGAGCTGTCTTGTGGCCTCCACCCACCAGCCAGCACTTGCCCGTTTCATGCTATTTACCTGGACAGAGGTCCTGAGAGAAGCCCTGTGCAGCTGTGCCCTTGGCTGACTCCTGATTTGCACTAAAACTTACAGCATTTAGTGCTTGCATGCTCAAAAATCCTCCTGGAAAGCTAGGAGGAACTGGAAGCCGTGGTCTACATGCTCTGTCCTCTTTTAACCGAAAAGGTGTATTCCATAAGTAACTTCCAGTAAAAAGAGAAAGAATAGCTGCTATTTATTGGGTCCTCTGATGGGCCAGATAGTGTGCGGAGCACGTGGCGTTGACCCTCCGTCTTCAGAACAACTCTGTGGTGGAAAGTTCAGGCCCATTTTATAGTTGAGAAAGCTGGGCATCAGAATATTAGGTAACTTGCAAGAGGACAGAGAACTACAGTGCTGGACGGGGCTTTCAACCCCTCACCTGCTGCCTCCAAAGCACAAACTGTTGTCAGTGCTAAGCACTGTGTTTAGAAACAAAACACTCAGCATCACAGTGGTGGAAATAATTAGGTTGATTAGCCACTCTCTTTGGTGAACACTTCTATTCTTAAAGCTAATTATCTCTTGGTTTAATTAGTGTCTTCTAAGTTACTCAGTGAAACATTTGATAAGCCTGACTTCTTAGGGTAAAATTTAAAAACAATTGTGAAATCTGAACTTACGTTGGAATGTAAACAGCGAGTCCTTTACCTGGTGGTAGGGGCTTAGGAGAATCAAGGTTTTTCAAACTATGAGTCATGGTTCATTAGTGAATTATGAAATCACTTTAGTGGGTCATGATTGGCATTTTAAAGAATAGGGTGGGTTAGGATCAGATAGAGTAGAATAGGAAAATACTAGTGCATTGCACACAGCAAAGTATGTTTTGTGTAATTTTTATTGCAGTCTGTGTATGTGCATGAGTGTAAAATGTATTTCTCACTGTAGGTCATACTTTTTATAAAGTTAGCTTTGGAAAGAAATGTGAGCAGATGAATATTAAATTGCTCACTGTTCTTTTCTGTAGCATGGCTTACTGTCAGTTCCTAACAGAACCACACTTAGCCTGTCTGCATTCGAGCTATTTTCTGTACAGATCTCTGTGTTAATCTTTCTGCAGATCCTCGATTAGATGGATATGCTTGTTAGACTCGAAACATGTTTTAGACACTGAGGGAGGACAAAGTGACATTTCCAAAAGCTGGGGTGAGTTAATAGCAGAGGTGGAACCAGAATTAGATTATTTATGGATTCTTTTCAGACTGGAAAAAAGAGGGGTGAGCAGTGGCTCGCATACTGAGGTCAGCGAGCAGCTGTTCCTGCGGAGATGGAGCTAGAGAACAAGAGAAATGGACTTTGATTGTAGCAGTAGGGACTGGGCTGAACCTGGGGAAGGATTTCCCCATGGTAAGCAGTGTGTGTGTGTGCACACATGTGCGTGTGTGTGTGTGTGCGCGCACACATGTGCACATGTGTGTGTGTCACCCTCCTCTGGAGGTCTCTAGAAGAGTGAGATAAATTGCCTGCTGCCATGGCGTCCTGTCTGGGGGCAACGGGAGGATAGGTGAGTCTGAGGTTTTTCCCACCCCAAGATGTTCTCATTCACTTAGCCACGCTCTCCCTCTCTCCCATCAGCAAGGATAATCTGGAGCTGGCCGTGTTTCTGTCCTCAGCTGAGGGTGGTTATGATGAATCCTGTGGTGCTCTGCTGGGCTGCAGTTAGCTTTGCTTTTCATCCGGATGTCAAACCAAGCGTGCGGCAGCTGTGATCAGCTGTTGGGAGAGGGGGAGTCGGGCAGGGAGAGGGTAGCTCCTGGCCTCCTGCCAAACCCTAGTCGAGTCCCCAGTGTCCACTTCTCAGTTGTGTCTTTCTGTTGCTGACTCTTATCACTGCACCCTTTTCTGTCTTTGTATGTGCATCTCTTTTCCTCTTCCTCTTCTTCTCTTCTTCTCTCATCTCTTTGGACAACGGAAAACCAACAGGCTTTTATGTGGGCCTTTTAGAGCAGCTAATTCATTTATGGCAGGAGAAGGACCAAAGAGCACCTACTTCTGAATGCCCCTACATTGTGGCCATTGGTAAGGTGCCCTATGATAACGGAAAGAAAGCCCAGATTCAGCCAGACTCGCATTCCTACCCTGACTCTGCCTTTACTGGTCACGAGACCTTGGCCACACACTTCAACTTCTCCAAGCCTCAGGTTCCTCCTATGTTATGCTGGGGTAACAATGCCTGCCGGAGGATGCTATAGTGAAGATGAAATGTGAAACCTTCCAGAAAAGCCCTTTGCTCAGGGATTGACCTGGGCAGAGTCCCTGCCTGCCTTCCTTGGCAGCCACTATCACTGCTTGGTAGCCTGACACCACCCACCTCTTTCTGTAGCCCAGGACTTGCTTTGTTTTTATTGAGCAGCAAAGAGCTGTTGAATTCCATGGAAAAACTGTTCCAGGAAGGGTCATAGTTCTGGTACCAGCCTCTTGTCATTATTCCAGGCTTAGAAAAATGTGAGTCTGAGGAAATGAGCTAGTTTTCACATGAATCATTCTGGAATGGGGGTGAAAAGGCAAGGGTGAGGGAAAACTCAAGGCTTCTCTGTGGGTCTGAGAAAGAGGCATGAGCTCACGTCAGGCGTTAACATTTTATACTTTAAACCGTGCAGACAGATAAGGAACATGATTAGCAAAACAGAATACTGATCAACTATGATGCTTCATGACCCTCCCATCCCAAATTCACTCAGCCTCCAGCTTGGTCTGGATCAGCCTTCTTTCTGGTTCCAGAATGCAGCCTTGAAACAAGGCCAGCCCCTCTGGTGGCCGTAGTCCTGAAGCATCTGGAAGGGGAAGAAGCCCGAGACTGCCTGCTGGTGTCTGCCTCTTCCCCGAGCACCCCGGCTGCAGAGCACCATGCAGGGTGTCTGGGTCTCCCCTACCCACACAGAGGTCACAGGCTAGTGGGAGGCCCAGGTGGACCCACTGGCCTGGACTACCCTCAGATGCCCTGGGCTCCTTCGGGAGTTGAAGCCTGACACCAAAGTAAGCTTTGGGAGCTATTGGAGAGAGTCGTAGAAACATCTTTTTAGGACATTTCTAGGCTGACATTGGCTTTTTTGGACTTCAGTCCTTTTTGGAAATTTGTTGGTTAGGCCATAGATTTTGCCCACTTCCCCCTATTTCCCAAGTCAATGCCAAGGGCATGCGTGCCTGATGCTCTAGCCAGCCCTTGAGATTTCACCTAGAGAATTACCACCCTGTTCTCCATCCCCTCCCGATCTTAACACCACATTTCTCTTTGGGCAGGTTTAAGGATTACCGAGAGCCGCCATGGGCCCCGAACCCTTATGAGTTTTCCAAACAGTACTGGTTTGTTCTGTCCGCCCGTCTGGCTTTTGTCATCATCTTCCAGGTGAGTTGTTGGGATAAGGAACAGCCCATTCGAATCCGAGCTGCAGCGGTAAGGATACTGTACTCATTTCTTGCACCTACCTCCAGGTTCCCGTGGTACTCTGTGACGTGAGAAAGCTTCATGTGTGGCAGGCAGAAGTGAGGGCTTCTTTCCTGGGTGAGGCAGGGGAACTCTTGAGAGGGCTTTCTTTAATGGGTGGACTTTGCAGACAGAGAATAAAACACAGTGTAAGGTTACAAGACAGATGTGGAGTAAGTTGCAGGGCGGAGATAGATTCCTGTTTAAACCTAAGGCGAATAAAGGAAAGGGGCCATTGAAACCAGAGTCCCAGCCTGGGGCAGACAAACAGCCCCATCTCATCTCTGCAGTCATGAAAGAACTCAGGTTTGGAACCTTTCTTCTTGCACTCTGGGCTCCCTCCTTTGTTAGTGTTGTTTTAGCCACTGAGACATCTGGTGGGAAGGGCCCCCAGAGCCATCGAGCCATCCCTGAATGAATAGCAAACTCGAGCCCAGTGATTCCTATCTGGGACAATAGCCACAGCTCCAATTGCATCGCTGAGATTCTCTGAGCTCGAGGGCCCCCAATTCCCACTCTGGATGCCCCCGGTCTTCAAGCAGGGCTGAAGAACGAGCCCAGATCCTTTTCTCTTTGGCTCCCTCAGGCTTTTGTATTCCCTGAAGGCAGATCTCTGGGGGGCTCTAAAGTATCCTGCCCCCAGACCCCGGCCCAGAAAGTGGAGAAGCCCATCGGCTAGGCTTTCACCTAAAGAAGACAGCCATTCTTCCTCTGGAGAGATGGGGGCGATAAGTTTGAATGATCGCTCAGACATCCCCTGCTGCCCCACCCCCGGAGTCTCCTCACTTTCCCATATGTCACATGTCACATTCCACTCACGCCAGAAGGAATGGATTGAGAGGAAGAGTGTGTGACTTGGTGAAGCAGCTCGCAAGCACCCAGGATGCCCAGGAGCCTCTGGAAGCAGCAGTTGGTCTCCAGCATCTTCCCCTGAACCCCTAGGAACATGTAGGGTTCAAGGGCTCAGTCACAGTCCCAGAGGGGAAAAGGCACGTGAGTGCATAACTGGCAGCCAGAGAAGAGTATCACAATGGGAGGAGTGTGTTGGGTAAAGCTGGGTGAAATGTGGCTTGGGGAATTGCATGGGAATCAGATGCATTCATTGAGCCATGCCACGCATTGCTGTCATGTATTCATTCACTGAGACAGTAAATCCTCCAGGGAGAAGCAGTCCTAGCCTACCGTGTGCACCAGCAAAGGGATGTGGCTTAGCAGCCAGAAGGAAGACCACTGCAAGTGTGCGCCAAAGCCTAGACCCGATCGAGGCAAGCTGGACGCAGGGGTTCCCAGCGAGGCAGGGTTAGCCGGGGTGGCTGCAGTGACTGAGAACGGTATAAGGTGAATGTCAGCAGTGCACCGGGTCAGCGAAGGCCCGAAGTCAATGCGAAAACCCCAAGTCCGTCTCTAGTGTAGAGGATAGAGAGAGCCAGATGGAGGAGAGGAGCAAGTGGCACAGTGACAGCCCAGGAGCAGCCACTGGGCTTTGTCGCCACTTTCTAGAAAACCACTTTCCATTTTCTAAAGCACGGAGGGCCTGGAGGCTTAGAGGCCAAGAAGCAAGAACTGGACACATGGGAACACTCTGAGGATGGTGTGGGGGCACAAGTCCTGGTGAAGGGAGGAAGCAGTAGCTACTACTGACGGAGTCCTGCTCTGTGCCAGGCACTGCCGCAGATGCCCCACACGTATTAACCCATTTCATCTTGACAGCCACTCCAGGGTAGGCACTGTTGCCACTGCATTTTATGGGTGAGGACACCAAGGCAGAGTTATACTCATTGGTTGCGATCACTGGGCTGGTAAGTTGCGAAGCCAGGATTGACATGGAGGCATTCTGCTCCAGGGTCACCACCTCGCCGGGCCAGGCCTCTCCAACTCGGCCCCTCTCTCCTTGGCTTTCTGCAGAACCTCGTGATGTTCCTGAGCGTACTCGTGGACTGGATGATTCCAGATATCCCCACGGACATCAGCGACCAGATCAAGAAAGAGAAGAGCTTATTAGTGGACTTCTTCCTGAAAGAGGAGCACGAGAAGCTCAAGCTGATGGATGAGCCGGCCCTGAGGAGCCCAGGAGGTGGGGATCGAAGCAGGAGCCGGGCAGCCAGCTCAGCACCTTCGGGCCAAAGCCAGCCGGGCAGCGTGATGTCGTCAGGCTCTCAGCACACCAACGTGTGAGCAGTTCAGCCTGCAGCAGAGGAGGGCACAGCAGCAGAGACACGCACGTGCACGCAAGCGCGTTCCTACCCCCACACGGCGTGCTGTCTGTCTGCAGGGGCCCGGCTTGATGGGGTCTTAAAGAGGGAATATGTGTAGAAAGAAAGAGGCTGAGAGAATGGGTGTAGGAAGGAAGAGAGATGATGCTACTTCTCAGAAACTTCAAGCTTAAGTTTCTTTTAGGTCCTCTTTTAAGCTGCATCCTTTTGAGGTATCGGAACCCCACTGGGGTCTCTCCACCCCAGAGTTCTCAGGCACTGCAAGCATTCCCACATGCCCTGGGGCACCCTCCTGTACTTCACCATCATTTCTGACTCTGACCAGCTGTAAGAGAAATGCAGTCAGGAGCACGGCATCCCCTACCTGCTATCACTAGTGACTCAGAAAACTGAGTCACTTGCAGTGGGGCTGCCACAGCCTCAGCAGATGCAAATTAAGTCACAGGGCTGAATGGTGCGGCCGCTGGACCTGATAGGAAGATGCAAAAGTCCAAACCTGGGCTTGTCTCCAGTTCACGTCACAAAAACATTTGGAGCTAAATGCAAGTAACTGTCATTTTACGAAAGTTCAGGTTTAAAATAATAAAATAAATGGACACGTTCTTTATAAAGAGGCATCTGTTGTCTTTGATGCCTTGTCTCTCCGTTTCCTTCCTTCCTTCCTTCCTTCCTTCCTTCCTTCCTTCCTTCCTTCCCCCTCCCCTCTTCTCTCCTCTCCTTGCCTTTCCTTTTGGTATTTATTGAGGTTCTACTGTGTGCCAGGCATTGTTCTCCGACTGGAAATACAGCAGAAGATAAAAGAGACAAAATCCCTGCCTCATGAAGCTTACATCGTGGGGGAAGACAGACAGTAAGCTGAATGTACAGTGTTTTGGATAGTAATAAGTGCTATGGAGAAATGTTAGGTAAGACGAGCAGACAGGAAGTGTGAAGGCACAGGAGGTAAGGGGTTTACCATTCTAAATACAAATCAATGACAAACCCCAGATGGTGAAGAGGTTACATCTTGCAATACTAACATAATCAATAGGTAGCAGCTTCCCAGAGCGCCATGCTGAGAACATGATGCAAAGTCGGAAGCACGGACCAAACATCACTCATCATTGCCTTTCCTACACCTCAGGCCCACCTGCTGCCCAGAAATCTGGTGCACAATCGCTTCATCCTAGTTCCTTGCAGGTCAGCCTGGCTAGAGTCCAACTGAACGCCTGAGTGAAAGCTGCAGGGGGGATGGTACTTCAGGGGAAAAATGAGGGCTATGGTTCTGCTGTTTCAGCACACCTGGCAATGTGCGGGCCTGTAGGTGCTGGCTGGTCACCAGTGCCGCCCATCACGTTTCTGGTTCCCTCCTAGGAGCATGCAGAATTGCGTTGACTGCCAACCCGTACTCAGGAAAGCGGCTTCTTCTGTGGGGATAACAGGACGTAGATGCAGCTCTTAGTGAGAGCAGTAGGCTAACGTGCTCCAGGCCACTCCTGGACAGGAAATCTTACAACCAGTTTTAATTTCCTCACTTTTTTTTTTTTTGAGAGGGAGTTTCGATCTTGTTGAGTGCAATGGCGCGATCTCGGCTCACCGCAACCTTCGCCTCCCGGGTTCAGGCGATTCTCCTGCCTCAGCCTCCCGAGTAGCTGGGATTGCAGGCATGTGCCACCAGACCTGGCTAATTTTGTATTTTTAGTAGAGACTGGGTTTCCCCATGTTGGCCAGGCTGGTCTTGAACTCCCGACCTCAGGTGATCTGACGGCCTTGGCCTCCCAAAGTGCTGGGATTACAGGTGCGAGCCACAGCATCCGGCCTCTCACATCTTAATATGCAAACTTACCACTTGAGCTGAGGTTCAGACTACAGCAGTATGGAATACTGCACCATTTGACAACAGGCTTTACCTGATTTGGGGAGAGTGCGGTGACCAGTGGGAGGAAGATGTTATTACAAGGAGCACCGATGACATGGAGATTCCAGGCCTATCAAAGGAAGCAATCCCCAGGGATGACTGCCAGTGTGGGTGGCGTTGACATTTGCAGGAAGCAGTGACAGTCCATGGTCAAGGTCAAGGGCTGCCTCCACCGCCATGACACCCACTTGGCTCCAGTCGTGCTATCGCCAGGCCCCTTGGCTGCTCATGGCTGGTTCAGGACCCGCCTGTTTTTCTTCCTCTTTTTTAAATTGAAACATTTTTGTATCATCATAAAGGTTAAGCTTGCATACCAAGAAATATTCAGATAGTCCAACAAACAATGAAGCAAATAAAATCACCCATAATCCCCAAATCTATAATCGACATTGGCACTTAACTGTGTCTTGGAGACTCTCATCCCCCCCGCACACACACATCTAATTTCTTTTAATCACAGTTATGCTATTTTAAAGCAGAAAAGTATCTTGAGACAGGCCGCAATCAATTTGGAAGTTTATTTTGCCAAGGTGAAGGACATTCCCAGAAGGAAAGAACATGGGATCACAGAAAGTCTGTGGTCTGTGCCTTTTTCTGAAGATGATGTTGAAGGTTTCAATATTTAAAGGGGAAAAAGTGGGCTGGGGGTGGTTAAAGGGGAGGGTGTGATCTCATTACTGAATCCACATGTTACAAGAGAAAAGGAGCAGGTGGGAGAACAGCCCATTATGTGTTTTTCTGGTGCTCAGTAAATCGGCATTTCCCGTAAGATAGGGTAAACATAGAGGAGCTGCCTAGCCTTTTCTGTGTAGCTGTCTGCTTCGGAACAAAAGGAAAGGCAGCTTCTTGCATGACTCAGCTTTCAGCTTCGTTTTTTGCTTTTGGCAGATTGCTTTGGGGTCCTGAGTTTTTATTTTCCTTTCATGGTATATATGCTGTCTTTTCATCTTTTTTCACTTCATGTATCTCATCCGTCCTTTTATTCCAATAAACATAGATTCATCCAAAGTGTGTACTGAACCCCTATGCGTCAGCCTCTGTGAGGCGCTTTGGATGTATCACCCAACAAAACACAGATTCCTGCCCTCAGGAGCTTAGGCTCTGTGTGCGGGTCAGAGAGGCAGAGCCAACAGTGAGAGTACACTATTAATACACAGTGGGTCAGAAGGTGATCACTGCTGTGCAAAAAGAGAAAGAAGGGCAAGGTAAGGGTATTGGTAGTGAGGGAACAGGCTCTCTGGCTGCCAGCCCCAGGAACCTCCAGGTGTTCAGCTGTCTGGCAGTTCTGGAACCCAGTCCGTTCTGGTTTTTTTGGAAGCTTCATCAGTAGGCAGGATTGGTTCAATCATTGGCCATCCTTGAGCAACTTAACCTACAGCCCCTTTCCCCTCTCCAGATGTTAGGGGTAGGGCTGAAAGTCTTAACCCTCTGATGCTGCCTCCATCTTTCTGGTGACCAGCTCCATCCTGAAGCTACCCAGGGTCTGCCAGCCATCAACTCATCAGCATACAAAATGACACTTCACTTTGGGATTCCACTGATTTTAGGAGTTATGTGTCAGGAAACAAGGATGAAGACCAAGTGTGTACTTCACTATATTACAGACCAGAGGCAGATTTTTCACTCGCGAGGGATTCAACTTTCTTCCCCTCTTCCACCAGAAGGAATACAGGAATTTTATAATTTGCCCCCATTCCCCAGGCCCAAAGTCTCAGCAGCACTCATGTTACTAGCCAGACCACCAGATGTGCTTGCTTTACCCCAGCAGCGGTAGGGGCTTAGGCTAAGTAAAGAGAACTTTCCAAAGGACTTGCTAACCTGGGTGAAGATATGATAGGTGCACTTTTAATTTAAAAATAAAGCAAACAATAAAGCCTCCTTCCCTGAGCCCTTTAAGGAAATAATGAAAAATTTTTATTCTATTGTGACATGCAAAAAAAAAAAAAAAAAATCTGTGAGCAAAAATCTGAAACACTAAAGAAAAAGATATTGTTCATTATCCAATTCCTCCTTTCTAGAAATAATAGTAAATATTTCAGTTTAATTGTGTTCCTATGGTATATGTACCATAACATTCGTTGATTCGTAACAGCATTTATTTTGTTTAATTATAAAAGTGATCCATGCTCATTGAAGAAGGCTTAGAAAATGCAAGCAATAAAATGTCAATTGAAAAGTTTAAATTACCTGAATTTTTACCTCCAAGAGCTAATTTGCAATCAGTCTTTTCTTCTATTCACTCATTTTCATGTACAATTGATTGCAATCACTCCACACACATTAACTTGTAGACTTAGTTAGCAGAGAAATGTCTACCAGCCCCAGGTAGACGTTATTATGAAGGGTTTATTGACAAACAGTGTCTATCACTGAGTGGTTTCACCATTCTTATGAAAAACAAAAATAAATGGAATCAACTTGATGGTTGATTCAAATAAATAATCTTAAGGGTCTTTTCTTTATGTGCTCTTTGTGAAAAAGAATAGCATAAAGTAAGAGATGAGACTTTCCTTCACGTGCTTTCCTTCACAGCCCTTCCAGATCCAAAGGGTCTATTATATCCCACTTGTGATGATGGAATTATTGTATCCTCAGGAAAGCTTTTAGAGATGCAGAAAATTATCACTACATCTCCGCTCAGTAAAATGGCCTAATTTTGCTTTTCAGTAAGAGAAATGGGAGTTTTTTGTTTTGCTAACCCTCCCAGCACAATATTCTAATCTTGCAAGTGAGGTTAGTCATTGTTAAGAAAAATAGAAAGGGAATGTGCCAGTTGCTGTTCTGAGTGGTCATAAATTGTAGTAGGACAGTCTGATAGATGCAGGAGGAAGATAAGGGGGATGGTCCTTGGAGAATCTTCCACCAGCCTGTGCACTGGGAGGAGGGGGTGGAGACTCAGGAAGTTTGCAGAGGGAGGAGCCTAGCCTCCCCAGTTCCTGGGTGGTGACCTGGGATTCAGTCTGTGAGAGGAGGGTCTGTTAACAGGAGCTCCTCTCACTCTGCTGAGAGATTCTTTCCTTTTCACCCAATAAACCCTGCCCTACTCACCCTACAACGTGTTCACGTGCCTAAATTATCCTGGGCATGTGACAACAATTTTTTTCTACAACAATTCCAGCAGGCTGTGGAAGGCATTTCCTGGAGAGAAAAAAAAAAAAAAAAAGATGGGAAACCAAGGGACAAATCGTTGCCCCATGGCTTATTTGAAATATATAGCCATGTAGGGTTTGTGGTTAAAAATGAATTGGGAAAACTCTTCGCTCTTTTTATATTGTCACATCTATCTCTTAGTTCACCTGAGTACACCTTCAGGTCGAAAAATATTAACAAGTTGGTGTTAAAGATGCCACCAAAGTCCCTCAGGACTTAGGTGCTCATTTCCCCCAGCTGGTGATGGTCACAAGTGAGTCACTGTGGAATTGCCTCAAGTGTAAGGGAGTTGCCCAGGCCGTGGTCGCTGTCCCACTCTGGGGCAGCCCACATCCAGTGACTCATCCCTGCAGGGAGGTAAGACCCACCCTGCCTTGATTCTAACTCTAAATGCTACTCCAGCTCCAGAGCTTTCTGTGGGATTGTCTGAGGCCTCTGTTGCAACATATTGCAGTTCAGCTTCTCCCTCTGCCTAATTCTGCTTCCCTCACTAAGCAGATGCCCCAGGAATCTCTAGCATGCAAGGTCTGCAGGTCTTAGACTCTGCTTTCCAGAGAAACTGACCT